GACGGCCAGGACATGCATGCCGGGCCCCCACACATTTGAGTGACTTTGTGTTGGACTGATGAGGGTTGTGGGGGCACTAACCCTCTCAGGTGGGGGCTATGTGGCGACCCTGACCGGTCGCAAATGTTCGTGTGTTCTGTTCTGGCAAATGTGGGATGGGGGGAGGAACAGGTGCGGGAGGAGATAAAAGGGATGGCAGGTGGGCGTTTTGTTTAGGTTCTGTTGGCGGGCGATGGTGAAGTTCTGGGAGACTGTTTATTCTTTTATTTTCTTGAGAGAGCACATGGTGCCAGTTCATACAGCGTTTTCTTTTGTCTCCATACCGCGTTCAATAAAACCACAAAAAGACAAACCAGGTGTTCTCCTCCTTGTTGAGCCAGGTGCCGGCACACAGCTGGCTAGTTAGCTGTTTCAGCGTAGGACAGGCTCGGCCAGCTCCTCTCAACCTAGCTAGCGGTCGTCACAATACAGTATAATCACAAGATTTATTGATCCTAATTGTAAAATCCACAAGCTACCCAGCAGTAATTCATATTCTAAGCCTATAAGGGTTGAGCTGAATGAACTCCGCCTTTACCAGCTGCAACACTGAATGTGATGTACACAATAATACATCAATAATCATAATGGAATAATATGATGTGCATCAATGTAAACAGTGCCATTTTGCAAAATGAGTACCTTCGGTACTTTAAGTATATTTAATGTCAATATTTTTGTACTTTTACGTAAGGAACATTTTGAATGCAGGACTTTTACTTGTAACTGTTTTTTTTTATTACTGTGGTATTGCTACTTTTACTTAAGCAAACAATTTTAGTACTTCTTCCACCACTGGTAGTGAGATTTACCATCCATACTGGAGGTGCTACCTGAACTCTGGGTTCAGGTCCTGGACTGATGTAGTCTCCTGCTGCACTCCAAGCTCTGGGCCTCATCTAAACATGACTTGCTGTCTCAGGCCTTCTGGTGGCTTCTCTGTGTTTGGGTGAGAAAATTTTAGTTTGATACCAATGCTGTGAGGACTTTTTAACTGATTCTCACATCTTCAAAAGTTCTGCTTGACAGTTCACACTTAGTTTTAAGGGCAGTAAGGAAATGGATTATGCTAATGACTGCCCTCTATAGAAGGACAACCATGTGTGTGTGTATGTGTCTGTTTGTCAGTAAGTCCAGTGCCACCCCTTAGCTCCTTGTGCTCTCACAAACCGATAGAACCAGAGAGGAGCACTGCTGTCTCTCATAGTCACACACACATAGACAGTAAGCACAAAGTGTCCTTCACACAGTTAAACAGGTTGTATGTCTGTGCACAGGTGTATGCACAGACATACACCTGTTCATACACATGCAGTTAAGCAAACCAAGCATTGATGGATATAATTAGCAGCCGCTTTGTTCCTAAACCAAATGTAGAGCAGCTTAATGTTAACATTAAAGAGCAACTGCAGGTTCAGTTGATAATTCTCTGTAGGTTCCTTACTATGCACAGGCCCTTTCACTGTCTCAGTGCTTCCACGTTGTCATTCCATATATAACTATTGTGAAAATAATGACTAAATCTTTATTTTGAGACCTGGTTAAATAAAAGAAATGAGACCCTTGCTGGGGTTTCTCAGCTGTCTCAGCAATCATCTGCTGATTTGTCCTCATTGTGCTACTGTTTAGATCATTTGTATTCAAAGAGCATAGTGGAAAAAACACAGATCCATTAATAAAGCAATACATATAATTGGTGTATGTAGTAAAAACCTTGGTTGTTGGAGGTATTGTCTATGCTGTTAAGGAATGATGGTCAGATTTGTTTTGTTACAAATGTCACATGACAGCTTTCTGATGAAACCTGACAAATCCATTGCTAGTTGTTCTGTTGCCTCTGTGGGAGAGTGGATGCATAAAGACAAGTGCATTAGGGGTTTGACATGAGGATGTCAGGATTTTTAAATTACCTGTAAATAACTTTGTCAGATTTTAAAATGTAGGTTGAATTGATTTAGTATATTTTGTGATTAATTCTGTATATTAGAATTACCATTAAAAGTTAAAAGAGTATTTTCTCCTGTGGGTTGAGACAAATGTTCACTCCAAAACATAAGGAAACTCTCTTGGATCCTTTGTATAATGTAAGAAAAAAGCTTGTCATCTTTAAGAATAGTGTTTTTATTTCGTGACAACCAGACATTTTTGAAATAAGGTTTTCAGGTCACAGTAATATATTTTCTAACAGGTTAACACAAGTTTGAATGATGAACTTTGTTAGGCTGAAAAACATGTTTATATCGAATGAAAAAAAAAACACTGAAGAATATGAAAAAATACAGTCATAACAGTAAAGTAAAACAATATTAATAGTCAACCTGGTTTCTGATTTCTTCTTTAAACAGCCCCACCAGTGGTAATGAAGTGGTGTGTGACTCTGGCTGCCATGCAGGACTCTATGACAGCCTCCCATCACCAAGGGCAGAACGATGGAACCAACACCATATAGGAAAAGAAAAGAAAGAAGAGGATCAAATATAAAACTGCAGTTTGCCTATTTTGATATGGCACAACTGGATGACACCATAAGAGGAGGGAATTAGAGTTTGTAGGCAGATGCACAATAAAAACACAGTAAGAGAGGAGCTAGTGTTGTGTTACAGTGTCCTCAGTAAACTTGATGCTGGCATATGACTGATTCAGAGGGACTAAGTCATTACTACTGTTTTTAAAAAACTGTGCGACTCTGTGCACTCAGGCAGGCTTGTATGGCACTTTTACTTTGTTGTGGAAAAACAGCTTTGGCTGACACATTGCACATTTTGTGTATGTGGCATGTTTCCCACTGTGCACCCAGCAACAGTGGGGTTGCACTAGAAGTTCAAATTTGGTGAACTCTGACCTGAGCCGCTCTGCCCTTTGTGGGTGCAGCCAGTCACCTTTAGACACTGTCTGATCTGAAAGATGACCAGCTAATTACCTTTGTTTTTGAATTGTTTGAGCTGTAAAAGTTAAAGTTGCCCTGGTATCTAGACTAGAAAAAATATGCGCTTAGTCAAAAGATGAAGATGCTGTTACCAGGCTTGTCACAAAAACACTGTTTGAGTCATAGTGATCACACAAACATAATGATCTATTGCCAGAAATATCAGCATCACAGGCGGTTGCTGCTTAGTGCAGCATCTGTTTAGTACAGTGTCCCCTGCTGAGAGTTCTGGAGTGGTAAATACAGCCATGACCAACACAGAACACACAGAGCATGACCCTTGTTTTTAGCTTGCAGCCTTTAGCCCCACCTGCCTGGTGTTAGCATGAATCTACAATCCGTTGTTGTTGGACTAAAAAATGATGTGGCCTACATGTTTGTGGCCTCTGTTTTTTCTCCAGGTATGTTTTCTAGAGTGCAGTCAGAATTGTTATTGGTTACATTTTAATTTGGAGATGAAGGAAAAATTGAACAAACGTGTGGGTCATCTGAACTTTCTTTCCGTTCACTTGTGCATGAACAAGTCAGATTCGGATCTTTACATTGAAAAACACTAATCACTCTCCAGAGAAGGGGTCTGTGTGGAATCAGAGAGGGGAAGCAGCACAGTGTGTAATGTCTGTTGTCTGGTCTGTCCTTTTAACATGGAGGCTCAGCTCTGTGCTCTTCAGCTGGTGGCCTAGGTGACTTTGCCGAGCACCTTTTCAATCCTGAGATAGATGCAGCATGCAGGGCCTGATTTGGTGACAGCTGTGTGAACAAAACCCGGCCCACTACAGCATCACTGAACACATGGAGGACACACAATAAACAGCAAAAAATGCTGGTGAATTAATAGCTGGGGGCAGAAAGGGACATTTGTTTGTTTCTCAGTGTAATGTTAATTGAAGGAAGGGAGGTCACTGAAAATTGCACAAAGACAAGTGGAGTCCACATTTTTTTTTAATGATATGATTGTAAAACAGGTTGTAGTATTCCACAGTGTACAGGGATTGTTCAGGTCTAGGGCCAAAGAGAGGAAGGCTCTTCAAAGCATCATAAATACTGCAGAGAGGATCATTTGGGACTGAACTGCCTGCTATGGACACACTGTACACACAGCGCTGTTGTAAAATGGTGGAGAACATACTGAGAGATCCACGCCACCCAGCTCACTCCCTGCTCAGACACAAAAACTGCACCTACAGCCTCAGGCACAGCAGGGTGGACAGTATCATCACACACAGAACTAGACTTTACAACAGCTTTTTCCCTGCCGCAGTTAGACTGATGGCAAATACGAAAATGTGAGAAATGTGAGAATATATGTGCAATAGCCCCTTACTAGGCTGTGCAGTAACCCCTCACTAGTTCACCAGGCGTAATGACATATCCATCTCCACCATGTGAATTACTAAGTGTGATGTTTGAAGTTCACTGTGGGAAATACTATTAACCTATTTTTGTGTATTATGTTTTAATACTTTGTCACCCTTATGTAACTTTTATTTTAAGACTAAGTGTTCTTTCTGGCTTTTGACTCCTTACCTGACTCCAAAGGAGAGCTGCACAAGAATTCCTATATGTCTAGACTGTCTGTTTATGCATAAATGGCAAATAAAAATCTTGAATAAGGTAACACCCCAGACTAGGTTTGACATAAAGATAGCAGAGAGATATAGGATACTGCTTCTGTCAAAGTGAGGTGTGAAGAGGTAAATTACGACATATGACCCTTAAGCACCACCTACTTTTAACACCTTGTGTCTACCTAGATTAAAGGGCCGATCAGTAACTACATACTTCAAATGATTTCACATATCAGCGTTACTTTTCTACATCGCAACATTTTATTATAGGTTTTATTGGATTTTACTAGGGTTGCCAGTGTGGGGAATAGGACAGAAGGCCACCTGCTTATCATAAAGTCTTCTTTCTCATGGAACTAGTGCAACACCATCGGAGACTAAGGATGAGACATCCCTAGTAGAACTCAACGTTTTGGGAAGTTTACAAGCACCTGTGTTACAGACTTTCTTGCTAATTTCCAAATTTAACTTGCTACTTTAGGTCAGCTATCTTAGAAGCTAGCTAAGCTGGTATCTTAGTTGAGAGCAATGGCTTCCCCCTCTTCCTCTCCTTCTTTCTCTTACTTGGAGTGTCGGGGTAGAGCCTCCTAGACGTAGCTTAGCCCAAGGTAGCCTGGCACTTCACGAGCAGTGGGATCTCAGCCAGTTGGCTGGGTGACAGTTCACAAGGGTCGTAGCTTGAAACAAAAGGTACATCACCTGCCTGTTCATGTTTCAAATCAATTTTCCCCACTCAGCGACACACCCGCTGAGAAGACAACTCTGGTAATTGGTGACTCCATAGTCAGAAACATAAAGCTAGAGACACCAGCAGCCATAGTCAAATGCATTTCTGGGGCCAGAGCAGGCAACATCAAATCCTATTTGAAGCTGCTGACTAAGGATAAGTGTAACAGTGTACAGTAAGATTGTTATTCACATTGGCACTAATGACTCCCGACTTCGCAAGTTGGAGGTCATTAAAATCAATTTTGAGTTGATGTGTAACTTCGCTGAAACAATGTCAGACTCCGTAGTTTTCTCTGGACCCCTACCCAATGTGACCAGTAACATGTTTAGCCACATGTCATCATTCAACCGCTGGTTGTCTAGGTGGTGTCCAGAGAACAGCGTGGGCTTCATAGACACCTGGAAAACATTTTGTGGAAAACCTGGTCTGATTAGCAGAGACGGTATCCATCCCACTTTTCATGCTGCAGCTCTCATATCTAGAAACCTAGACAAGTTTATCTGTCAGCCTAAATTATGACAACGCAGAGATGAGTCCAGGATGCAGGGTCGCAGTCTTAGACTGATATGCGTCTCTTTGCAGCTGCTACCCACCCAAAACTCCCAGTACCCCATAGAGACTGTGTCAAAACTCAACACTTAATAGCCCGACAGTGCTGTTACCAAATTCAAGGAAATAATTCCATCATTATTTACTTCAGTGCCATGTGCCAACACAATGGACGGACGCCACCTTAACTTTACTCCCACACAAGTTGATAATTTTGTTGATAGTACTGCAGCCTCCCTGCATACAACACTTGATACTACTGGTGGAAGTCACCAGTGATCTCCTCCTAGCCTCAGATAAAGCACTTGTCTCCATACTTGTCCTCTTAGATCTCAGTGCTGCTTTTGACACCACTGATCACAGCATCTTATTACAGAGACTTGAACATGTTATTGGGATTAAAGGAACTGCACTAAGTTGGGTCAAATCTTATTTATCAGAAAGATTTCAATTTGTTCATGTTAATGACTAATCTTTCAAGCAGACAGAAGTTAGTCATGGCGTTCCACAGGGCTCTGTGTTAGGTCCAGTTCTCTTCACTTTATAGATGCTCCCTTTAGGCAATATTATCAGGAAGCACAACATAACTTTCCATTGCTATGCAGATGATACTCAATTATATTTATCTATGAACCCAGATGAATCAGATCAGTTGGTGAAACTTCAAGCATGTCTTAAAGACATAAAGGTCTGGATGACCTGTAATTTCTTACTTGTAAGCTCTGACAAAACTGAACTTATTGTACCTGAAAACCTTAGAAATCTGCTGTCTAACTATATAGTTACTCTAGACTGCAGGCCTCTGCATGGCTTCAACACCGTCATCAAGTTTGCAGATGAGACCATGGTGATCGGCCTCATCAGCAACAACAATGAGTCAGCCTACAAGGAGGAGGTACAGCACCTGGCTGTATGGTGTGCTGACAATAACCTGCTCCTTAAAACCGACAAGACCAGGGAAACTCATTTTAGACTACATGAGGAAGAAAGGAGGCACACATGACCCCATCTATATTAATGGGATGGTTGTTGAACGTGTCTCCAACTTCAAATTCCTGGGGACCCACATCTCAGAGGATCTGTCCTGGACCATCAACACCTGCAGCCTGGTTAAGAAGGCTCACCAGCTGTATCACAGTCTGGTATGGAAACTTCTTTGTCTTCGAACCACAAGGCACTTCAGTGGGTGGTGAAAACTGCCCAAAGCATCACAGGGACTCCACTTCCAGCCACTGAGGGTGTCCACAGGGAACACTCTCTCCAATGTGCTCGCAGCATTCTCAAGGACTCCTCTCACCCTGATCACAAACTGTTTGACCTCCTGCCCTCTGGGAGGCACTTCAGGAGCCTCCGGACCAAAACCAGTAGACTCAGGAACAGCTTCTTCCCCACAGCTGTCTCCTTACTGAACTCTGTCCCCCGCTGAACCCCCACTGCCTTCCTCTATACCACTACACACACCTCACCCCTTCTCATCTCTCCTTCCAGGACTTATGCAGTACACTTCTGTTACCTGTAACACTGAAGTGATCTGTTAATTTGCACATACTCTACTCACAGGATACTGCTCTGTATTCATTTGCACACTGTTCATATGCAGATAATATATATTTATATTTATCTTTGCACTATTTACATCCATTGAACTGTTCACTCAGTTAACTTATCTTTTTATTCTGCACTGTTTCATTCCATCTCATCCCATTGCACTAGTGTTCCATAAGCTTAATGTAACTTGTCCATTACCTGTAATTTAAATCCATAGTCTGTTGTATATCATACATTAGCCTACATATCTTACTGTAAATATCAACTGTACATATCCATCGGTAAATTAGTTCTGACTGCACAGACTGCAGATACTGCGCACTCTACACTGCTGTTGTTGCACTTCTGGTTAGATGCTAAACTTCATTTCGTTGCCTTGTACTTGTACTTGTACTTGTACATAGGTAATGACAATAAAGTCAAGTCTAGTCTAGTCTAATTTAATCTAATCTAATCTAGATGACATAGCTCTGGTCTCCAGTACTGCTGTGAGGAACCTTGGAGTCATTTTTACCAGGATATTTCCTTTAAATCACACATAAACCAAGTCTCTAGAACTGCCCTCTTTCACCTGTGTAATATCGCAAATATCAGGAGCATCCTGTCTCAAAGTGATGCTGAAAAACTGGTCCATGCATTTGTTATGTCCAGACTCAGGATGTCCCAATAATTCTGTAAAAAGCCTCCAGTTAATCCAAAATGCTGCAGCCAGAGTACTGACAGGAACTAGCAAGAGAGATCATATCTCTCCCATATTAGCTTCTCTCCACTGGCTCCCTGTAAAATCCAGAATAGATTTAAAATCCTTCTCCTAATATACAAAGCCCTTAATGACAAGGCGCCATCATATCTTAAAGACCTCATAGAGCCTTACCATCCTAACAGAGCACTTCACTCTCAGAGTGCAGGTCTACTTGTGGTTCCTAAAGTCCACAGAAGTAGAATGGGAGGCAGAGCCTTTAGTTATCAAGCTCCTCTCCTATGGAACCTGCTCCCAGTCTCAGTTCGTGAGGCAGACACCCTCTCTACCTTTAAGATTAGACTTAAGACTTTCCTTTTTGATAAAGCTTATAGTTAGGGCTGGATCAGGTGACCCTGAGCCTTCCCTTAGTTATGCTGCTATAGGCCTAGGCTGCTGGGGGGAGTTTTTCCTCCCTGCTGTCACCAAGTGCTGCTCAAGGGGGATTTGTTGGGTTTTTCTCTATAATAATAATAATAATAATAGTAGTCAGGTCTAGACCTTACTGTGTAAAGTGTCCTGAGATGACTTTTGTTGTGATTTGGCGCTATACAAATAAAATTGAATTGAATTAATTGATTAAATATTAAATTAATATTGTAAATAATTCGCATAAGCAAACGAAATGCTGCTGTTTAATGCCAACATAGTTTAACCCTGATAGTTTTGTTAGGTGTATGAGTTAAATTTATAATAAAATAAATAGGGTAATTCCCTTAAGCATAGGGAAATGCAGCTTTTTCATGCAAACATATAAGGAATTTTAGATTTAATTGTTTTGATAAATAGCCTTTGTGTGTGGCGTTTGCATGTTCTCACTGTGTGTGTTGGTTCTCTCTGGGTACTCCAGCTTCCTCCCACAGTCCAAAGACATGCACCTTAGGTTGACTAGAAACTCTAAATTACCCATAGGAGTGAGTGTGAGTGTGTCTGGCTGTTTGTTTATATGTCAGTCCTGTGACAGACTGGCGGGCTCTGTCCCCCGCCTCTCACCCACTGTCAGCTGGGATTGGCTCCAGCCCCCCTGCAACCCTGTTCAGGAATAAGTGGTATATATAATGGATATATGGATGGAAAATCAGTTTGAATCAAAAAGTATGCCTGTCTTTTGTGAAAATAAAATCATGAGGCAGAGCTTTGACCAGATCCTGGGGGAGGCTGGAGATATTGAGTCCGAGTGGACCATATTCTCCACCTCCATTGTCGATGCGGCCGTTCGGAGCTGTGGCCGTAAGGTCTCCGGTGCCTGTTGTGGTGGAAATCCCCGAACCCGGTGGTGGACACCGGAAGTAAGGGATGCCGTCAAGCTGAAGAAGGAGTTCTTTCAAGCTTGGTTGGCTCGTGGGACTCCTGAGACAGCCGACGGGTACCGGCAGGGCCAGCGGGGCGCCGCCCCGGGGGGTGCGGCGGTAAAAAAGCAATTGACCAACAGTCTGGAGGATTTAACACTCACATTAACATCCTTTTTCTTCTGACATGAACAAAACGTGATTGAAAGACCCTGGGTTACACAATAAAAGTAATGGAATAATGATTTTATGTGTTAAGTCTAATTATTGGGCTCCTGACACACACACACACACACACGCACACACACACACACACATACACAGTAGCATCAGAGTTAAAAAAAAAAAATGTTTTTTTGTTAAACTTGCAGACATCTCTGATCTTTTGATGTGGCAAACTACTGATATACAAACATACTGTAAATAGATTGGTGCAGTATGTTAACTGTGAGATGTGAAGGACATAGCGAATGCCTTGATAATCCTACATCATGAATGAGACCGGCTTGGCTGTGAGATTGCCCAGATGTGAGAGAAATGTTGGAGGAGGAGGAGGAAACAAACGATCATCTTCTAGTTAGATCTTATGACTCCCACAGCTCCAGTGGTTGGCCTGCTGTAAACAGCCCATCCACCCATGGCCCAGTTTGATGAAAGGGTCTTTCTGGGATTATTCGCCCCCCCTCTGTCGCAGTCTTTGCAATCAGCCAGCGCATCCTCAAACCCTGCTGTGTGTACATGTATGACCGCAGCAAAGTATACACAGCTTTCCACCCCCGAAGTGGATTCTGCAAAACGGACCAGGCATTGTAATCATTAGGGTCATGCTTGAGACGCTTTGGGTGTGCTGGCACAGCACCAAGGCTGTTTAACCCTGACCCACCACCCTGTAAACCCCCTGTCCTTTCAAACATACACACCAAGCCTCTGCCCCAGCTCCAAGGGTTAATGTTGCATGAAATGGTATCACAGGCCTTGTCCATCCCAGAGATCTTCAGTGTTGTTAGCAGTAATGGGATGGAGCAGGAGGGAGAAGCCTCCTTTGTAGAGCTACTCAGGGGAGACCCATATCAAGTAGCAGGCTGAGATTTTCATCTCTTAAAATATTATTATGAAAGTGGTTTCCACTGTCTTCTGAGCATCTCTGATGTGCCTGTGCACGCTGAGTGTGTCTATGTGTGTGTGTTTACTGCTTATCTACTGGATGTCTGCCTCTGGTATTTCTAAAAACATTAGTGTAGTCATGGTAACACAAATGATGAACACTTCTCTCCCCTCCACCTTTTGCTGAGGACATCAGTATCAGCAGTGTTGTACAGTATAAAGTACTACAACAACTAAAAATGCACTAGCCTTGTAATACAGTAGCAGGAGGAGCTGGAGGAAGTGTCTGGAGAGAGGGAAGTCTGGGCATCTTAATCATCTGCTTAGACTGCTGCCCCCGCGACCCGGTCCCGGATGAGCGGAGGAAAATGGATGGATGGATGGAGGTTAAACAAGTGTTTAATGACATGTATTATACATTTATTATTATGAACCTCTGGAAAAGAGGATGGTGGGGGTGTGGGGGATGGTGCGGAATTGGAAGCAAAGGTACTAAAATTGTGATGTCACCCCTCTGTCATAAATCACTCACCTCAGTTTGACAGATGGAGCATTCTGTATTCTCTCTGGCCAAAACTGTTCAACAGTGTCTCTTTTTACCCTGTTGCCATAAAAACATCTCATTGACATAAATGTTTATTTTTGGGGGTCAGACCTTGTCATGTAGAAAAAGAAGTTGAAAACTGGCTTGAAAAAGACTGGCTATACAAAATCATCTTTTTGTCTTTTTTGTCTTTTTGTTTCCCCCTGTCAGAAGTAGCACCTGTGTATTTACATATGCACTTTATAAGGTTACTTTTAAACCTGGACATGACCTTTTCCCACTCAATAAAAATGTTTACATTTTCATAGACTATGCTTACTGCAAGAATGATTCTCATCATCATCAGGAACTTCATAATCTTCATAATCAAGCTGATCATCATACTTCTCCTCAGGATGTACATCTCTTTAAACAGAGTTTGCCTTTGTTAGGTGAGTCCTCTCTAGTCCTGCTGTACAAACTGCTGGGCTTTGGTCTCCATGCCCTGATCCAAGGTTTTAACCTGAAGAGTTTTGGAAAGAAGAAGAGGAGGAGGAGGGAGGACGGGAGTTAGATGAGGAGGGGAGGAAGTTTCGTTCTCAGTGGAATCACTGAACTCCAAATCTTAGGGCCTTAGGGTCCTGGATTTCAATCTGGAACATAAACAGAGAGAAGAGCGACTGTGTCAGCATGGCTGCAGAAGTTCTATATCCTTATAGCTGAAAACAGGAAACACATGGATGCACTACTGAGGTGAGAAAGGGAAAGCTCCACAACGTGCCTGGTTGGGCATGAGAAAGAGAAGAGGGGACAACACGAGGGAGGTTCAGGACTCATTCATGCCCTATCAGCAATGACACACCATGAGTTTTATTTTTATGGAGCCACAGATATGACAAAAGTAACTAACACGTCTTTAATATATACTTCAAACTCTACAGGGTTGATAGGATCCATTTGACTTTGTGAAACTGAAAGTATCATGGAACAAATAAATAATACATTGAGTTAAAACAAGTAAAGAAAAAGAAAAAAATAACCACTGACCTGTCTGGAGTTGCAGTGACTGACAACAACATCCACATACAGCACACTATTACAGTCACAAAACAGTATATAACAAAATAACCCACTGGCTTCAACCTTGTCCATGTTTCCTCAAAGCAAACCTCAAGCTGTCACTTTTCATCTGGTGATATGGTGGAAACTCAAACACAACAAACTTTTACTTACTTTCTGATTTTTGTTCCTGAGAATATTTTGCTGTATTGTACTTGAACTTACCCGGTGTCAGACATGCACCTCTTTATGCAGATGTTACATTTACTGTAAGTAAACTTCCCAACAGCAATCACAGTAGGACAGACATTCCTGCATCACTGTGAACATGGCACAGGTCTGAACTGAGTCCTGTCAGATTCATGTAAAGGCTGCAGAACCACAAGTTAAACAAGTGGAGAGAGTGTGAAATATACATCCTGTACTATCTTCTAAGATCATTGCAATGCATTTATTATTTCAGTCATAATCTCTTATGCACAAAAACAGTTTAAGGAATGAAGAAATGCTCTAAAAGAGCTGGGATTGGTTTGTTGAGGAGATTCTTCTCTTATCAGATCAGTCTACTAAAAATATTTCCCTTGCAGTGTGACTTGGGCAAAAGAGGTTGAAAACCCCTGTGCAATCGGAGCATTAATCTGGTCAGCAGTCTCTCACCATGTTTTTAATGTTCATTCATGCCAGCTGCATAGAATATGTTACCTCGATCTTCCATCTTGAAGACAAATCTCAGAATTTGTATTTCTGCTCTGAAGTGTGAGGGTGAGGATGCACTAGACCAACATCCTTCAGGCACAGACAGCCCTGGAGTGAAAGCAGCTGAGCAGTCTGATCTGAGAATATGTTGCAACATCAGTGACACAGAACAAACCCCATTTGAGCATTAATGTCATGATCTTGATTTGTTTTCAGATTTGCTGTCCTGTTAAACCTGATGCATCTGCAGGTCTAAAGAACCTTAAACAACTTCCTTCATTCATTAGAAATAGTTCTAGCTTCAAGATCTCTTATTTCTCATTTAATTTGTATAATGAGTAATAGCTACTGTGCAATCATGAACAAGAAGAACATCTGAAGTCTTACAGCAGTAAACATGTTCATTGTGTCCTACTGTCAATTCCTTTCAGTCACATGCAAGGCTGAAAAGACCTGTGCCAGAGAGACACAGAGTTTGTATAAAACATTTGGACATAATGAATCATTTCTACAAAACATGAAACATTCTAATCACAACCTGGCTTACTGACCTGACCTGAAAATGCCAAGTCTGGGGAGCGCCTGGCTGTTCACCAGCTAGTTGCTAACAGAAGTAGTTTGCTGAAACTGCAGTTTGACATGCAGCAGTCACGTTATCACATCATCGTTATTAATAGTTTGTGATTTTGTATAGCCACCTCTGCATTTAATCTCCTTTCTCAGTCTGCTGCTCTGCTCCAGCTGGCTGTAGATGGAAATGAGAGAGGCATCAGAGGGGCTCTGACATATGAGTCAGCGTGAGCCAACCACGTGTGGGAAATGAAACAGGCCAGAAATAAACAAACCCATAGAAACACAATAATGCTCACACCTTAATACATTTACAGACTCCCTTTAAATGTCACTTCTTTCATTCCTCTTTTCAAATCAGTAGTGAGGGCTAAGAAGGAGCATTTCTATTTTATGTGGGTTTGCTCTAACATGAAATTCTAAAAATATTCATTTATCAAAAGATGAAGGATATGAAGGATAAATAAATACTCGTATGACTGCATATCCTCTTAATAAATAAACAGAAAAACACACAGAAGCTCTTGATGCAAATGGGAGCTGCTTACTGGCCAGTCAATAACTAGGACCATTTAACTCAGCAACTCAATTAAGGAAGCAGCAATCTGATCTGCTGTCCTAACCTTCCATTATAGACCCCAGGGTCAGAGCTACTTCTGAAGGAGCACCCTGTTTGGCTGGGTGAAGGAGGTGGGAGGATACTGATAAATGATGGTTCACCCTCCACTCAGGCTGTGGATGGTGAAGTGTAGGGGATTATTGTATTATTAATCTGTTTAAGATGACCCCACATTCTGGCTCGGTAACACTGGGTGGATGCTAAATGTGGTGCTGATGGACTTGATGCTACAAACTGTAATCACTGTACTTCCCAGTCTGAAAAAGTCATACCAGTCATACCAACAAAGGACAACACTTACATAACACAATCCCCCACACCATGCCTCTACTGCTCCATTGGTGGGCAAACATGGGTACAATACATATGGTTTTCCGACCTGGTCTCATTCCCAGGGCATCAAGTACTGAGGTTACTGTATGTCACCTACCCTTGGTGTCGGTGGTAGGTGCACAGGCTTTTCAAATATACCATACCATACCATACCATACCATACAAACTTTATTTATAAAGCACTAAAACAACCAAGGTGGACCAAAGTGCTGTACATTACAAAACAATAAATCAAAGAGACACAACCCACAAGCACAAATAAGATTGACACCAAAATATGAAAACATGAATCAATAAAAATAAATAAAATCAACACCAATATAAAATATCAAAATGCTAATGAAAATAAATGAGTTTTTAAAAGAGACTTAAAAACAGACGAAGAAGCTTGTCTGATGGGCAGCGGTAAATCATTCCAAAGTTTGGGACCAGCGACTGCAAAGGCCTGGTCGCCTCTAAGCTTATGCTTTGTTCTAGGCACACTCAAAAGAAGCTGATTGGCTGACCTCAGAGAACGTGTGGGTGTATGCCAGTGAAGCAAATCGGATAAGTAGGGTGGTGCAGAGCCATGAAGGTATTTAAAAACAAAAAGTAAAATTTTATAATGAACCCTAAAATAAACAGGTAACCAGTGCAGGGAAGCTAAAACTGGAGAGACGTGCTCATAGTTTCTCATACCTGTTAAAAAACGTGCTGCGGCATTTTGGACCATCTGGAGGCGAGTGATGGAAGACTCACCAATCCCCAGATACAATGTGTTGCAGTAGTCCAGTTGGGAGGTGATAAAAGCATGAATAAGCGTCTCAAAGTATTGTCTAGAGACCACAGATTTTACTTTGGCCAACTGTCTTAATTGAAAAAAACTGGATTTAACAACAGCTGCAATTTGGCTGTCAAATTTCAGGTCAGAATCCATCTTAACACCCAGATTTGAAATATTTTTCTTATTGTATTGAGCCAAAATATATGTTATATACAGTATATACTGTACATAACAAGGCAAAACTTGAAAGGAGGTGGCTGGGGCAGATGGATGGGTCAAGCAAACATCATACTTTCCCACAAGAGAGCCGAGTTATTGGATGCCGTGTTTCAAGATGGTGCCCATTCATTCCAGTGAAAGTTGAGTCTGTCCATGTTAAAGCATGTACATTAGAGTCCTTTGCTTTTTGAAGTTGCTACTCCCCCCACTTGATTAAATAGGTTAAAAAAGACATTATGAAATAATTAAATGAATACATTCTTTAAAATATATTTAAAAACAATTTGTGAAATAATTTTACATTTAATGAATGAATATTATATTTTAATGACATTTTATTTCCTGTCTCTTTGCATCATGTCAGCACTAGCATGAGGCTCTAGAATCAATCACCTCTGCTCCTCCCAGCCCTCCCTCTCCCTACTCGCTCCACTCCACTCTGCACTCCCTACAGCCTGCTGGGAACGTGAATCACACAGTATCACATTTTGGCAAGAAATTCACAAAGTTAGTGGGCAGCTTTCAATTAATGGGCACTAAAATAATGAATCTCACAGAGCCGATTGCCCTGCTTCATGTCTACAGTAACCACAGCCCAAGTGTGTAGCAGCTTCAACTACACAACAGGTGGACATGACACATTTACAGTGAGCACTGTCAGGAAGTGGTGTATGAAGCTCCCGTGAATGTGGAGGTGTGAACCCGATTAAAGAACCAGTAGTCAGAGGCAAGGTGGACAGTGTTTATTACTTTCTTTAGGAAACTCAGATGAGGGAGGGACAGACTCAGAAAGCCTGTATAGATGAGGTGAACCCCAGTTGACGTCAGTCGGTGATGTCACGGGATAGAGGGAATTCCTCCGAGTGCAAGGAGGGAGACTGACAAGTAATAGTACACCCACAACTCACAGGGCGGAGTCCAAGAAAAACCCACAGGGTGTTTCTTTATTAAACGTCTTTGCTAAAAAGAACGGGGAATCAACAAACCCAGTACGAAGGATTAGGCTGGGCTCTTTTCACATTCAAAGTCCAAGGTCACCTGTCAGCGTACTCACAATACGGGGCAGGCAACACTCAAGGTTGTGGAGGCAGTCCAGAGTCAGAACAGAAACAGCTCAGGGGTTCAGAGGGTCAGGCAAATCGCAAATCTCTAGGTCTGGTCCATGGTCAAGGTACACAGCAGTCCAATAGGTTAGGGCAAGGCAGAATCTTTGGTCGGTAATGCTGGCAGGGTCTTGATCTCAGGGTAGTAGGCGCTAGAAGATAAATGGCTGGGGAGTCTAGACAAAGCATAGGACAATCTGGCAGCTTCCTACTAGGTGAGAAACTGCTATATGCTGTCGTAGGCAGGTGTGAGTAATTGGGGAGCAGGTGAAACCAATGTGAGTGATGAGG